TGGGATTATATCACTCGCCTTCGGCTCGTGATATAAACCTCCCACTCGCCAAAAAACACTTTTTTGCACTCGTTACGAAATATACTAATTTCGTCATTAGGCCGAAAATAGTATATTTCGTCATTAGGCCGAAAACAACTTTTCTGGCGAATATGAGGTTTGAAGCACGAGCTGAAGGCGAGGGCTGCAATCGTATTCGTCAGAATAGTATATTTCGTAACGAGTGCAAAAAAGTGTTTTTTGGCGAGTGGGAGGTTTATATCACGAGCCGAAGGCGAGTGATATAATCCTAGGAGCTAAAAAAAATTTTTTCACGAGTTACGAACAATATTTTTTATCACAATGTGGCGGAAATTGGACTTTTAGGCACGCGGAGTGTGCCGAAAAGTTCACTTTTCGTCACAGCGTGATGAAATATACTATTTTGTCATGGGGGCCGCAGGCAGCGATTCACGGGCGCGGAGCGTCCGTGAAACGCTGCCTTACGCCCGGAATGACAAAAAATATGATCACTGAACGTCAAGTAAACGATTCTCAACTAATTTTAGGCACTGGAATTATTATTAACAATTAAATTGTTCAAATCGCCTTAGCACCTTAACTATGAAGAACGAAAATTTTCAAATCATGAATCATCTAGAATTTAATGAGGAATACTTTTTGTCTGTTTTTAATTTTACGGAATATTCAAAAGAATACCTTCAAAATCCATTTTGAGAAAAGAATGTTACGTTTTTTGTCACCGGTGCTTGCTACGTAACTTGCCTATCAAAATTTGATTCAATTGATTTTATTTTTATTGATGAATTCGTTCATCTTCTAAACAATAATTTAATTTCAAAATAATGTCTCAGTTTAGGTCAAGAAAATATTCATTCATATTTAGTGACAATTTTTTTTGTGAATGAAAATCATGTTCAGGTTGAAATGAACGTTTTGTTCCGAATTGTTCCAATGAATCGATTTAACTTTAACTTTTAACGTTATTTATTGCAAGAAACATATACATTCTTGCAAATGGCCATTGCCCGCGGGCCTTCAGCCTAGAATACAATTCTTTTGTACAGTATCAAATTATCTCTATCAGGAGTCGTGTATATGTGGTTCAATGTTGATGATAGTTAGAAAAAGAGAAAGAAAAAGAAGAGAAATGAAAATAGTGATGAGACTCAACTTTTGAAAATTCATGGTACAGGAATTGTTATGGGGTGAATCGATTTATTTTATTCAGATAAAGTTTATTAAATTAAAATGAATGGTTTTCCTGGCTGTGTAAACCTTGAAAAAACCCCATTAAAATGTCATTGGCATAATTAACTTCCTCTGGCAGTGCCGAATAATCGAGGATTTAATGAGAAATAGTATTCCCTTTTGCGGTCTCCGCTTCATTATCGAGAGCTTCGTTAATTCCCCCCAGGCCGCAGAGTCGGCCGCCAGGGCCCGAAAATGTGGAACCAGTGGAGTGAGTGGTCAGGCTGCAGCGTGACCTGCGGTGTTGGAAAATTGTCTCGATGGCGACACTGCATTGCTGGCGGTTGTTCCCAGGGGGAAAAGGAGCAGCAGTTGAAAACCTGTACTTTCCCAGCTTGTTTATATGAAGGTGTCGGTATTTATAATATGTAACAGAGACTTATACATTTCAGTTTCGAAATTCGAGACATCGAGTGGAAAAGTTCAGGACGAAATTATCCTTCTCGCAATTAGGAAATTTGATGGAAAATTTTTTAATTGAAAAAAATTTTTTTGGTTTGAAAAGAAAAGGTAATTTTTTTAGGAGAAAGTGTGAAATAAAGATTGAGGAGAATAAATTCTTCCTTTCCGCAACCCCAAAATTTGAGGAAGAATTTCGTAATGAGAAAAAATATATTTTGATTTCTCTGAAAAATTTATTCCCCTGATTTTTGCTCTAGGAATTTCTTAGAAATTTGAATTTTATTGTAAAAGAATTGAAATTGAATTTTTTTGTACAAAAATCATGTGATGAAGGGTGAAGAGAACAGCAAAAAGAAGAAGTCCTGAAAATGTCAGTATTAGAAATTGTATTTTCTGAAATTAGGAAATTGGTGGAGAATTATGTAACGAAAAAAATGTTTTTTTCATTTTGGAAAAAATCAAATTTTTTTAGGAGAAAGTATGGAATAAAGAATGAGATGATGAAATTCCTGGAAAAATCCAAATCCGAGAACTCGAATGGAGAAATTCAAAGATGAAAAAAAATCGCAAAAAAGTCGAATTGAGTGAATAAATTGAATAAGTATTGAATTAATGCATTTCATATTTTATTCCCTTTTACATAAAAATTTAGAGACTCTTGACCAATACATCAATTTAGCATGTGCAATAAAGGCATCAATTCCAGAAATCAACGGTCACAAGGCGAAATCCACAGATTGTAATTAGCGATTCGTTCCGTTGACAAAAAAACTATTTTCTGGAGATAATGACGTCATTAACGACCCATAAAAATGGTTACTCAATATTTTTCTTTATTCTGGTGACAGAAAGATCGCGAAGAGTCAATGCAAATGTTGGAGGATGAATAATTCATTTTTTTTTTGAAAATTCTGTGAATAGTTGATTTTTTACGGTTTATGATATTTCAGAGACTTCTTGTTAAGTTGCATTTATCACTATGATGTTAACATCGCGATTTCTTGTGAAGATCGCCGGCATTTGAAACTGCCTCGTGCAATTTCTGTTGCCACATCCGAATTTTTTAGTGACCATGGTTTGGTCCCATGAGTTGGTGAATGCACACTTTTTTGCTAGGATTTTCTCTCCATGTAGCTATGTGTGTAAAGGCTCAGACTGACAACCTAAGGGTCGTGGGTTCAAACCGAACTTTCGGCGATTATTGGCGTTTCCTCAAATTGATAGATCTTTCGTTTCTTCCAAAGTGGGAAATAAATTTTTTTCATTTTTTTTATATCCTTCTTTATTCTCAAACTCCAAAACTGCGGTAAATTTACTATTTTCATAGAGTCAACAACAAAAGAATATATATATTCTCACAATAATTTCCAAATTGGTATGAAGAAGACAATAAAATAGGGAGCGAACATAAATTCATTAATTAATTTTCATTAATTCATTTTTTCATTTCTTCATTTTTATATATTTTTTAAAATCCTTTAGAATCATTTTTAAAATTCAATGAATTTCTCGTAAATTCAGCATTTTTATGCATCTAATAATGAAAAATACATGTTTTTTTCGGTGAAGATGGTAAACCGAAGATCTGGGACCAGTGGGGCAAGTGGTCGTGCTGCAGTACATCCTGTGGACCTGGAAAAGTGTCACGATGGCGTCATTGCGTGGCCGGAGGCTGTGCTCCAGGGGAAAAGGAGGCGCAGCTCAAACAGTGCTACCTCTCCGACTGTACAGACGATTCTCCATGAATGTAGCACCAGGGTCTCTATTGACTCGTGTTGAATGCGTCCTCAGTCCTGTAGATGGTGGGTACTGCGAGGGGTTCTTGTTTTGGTGACGAAGGGCTGCTGGTGGCTGACGCAGGGCCTTCCTGATTCTTCGATTTCTATGCAAAATTCATCATCATTACAGCGAATCATGATCTTCCAGGGGAATTGGTGGATAGTTCTGGGTTCACTTGACTTAGATTTTTGTCGTTGATGATAATCAGTTGAATTTTTACGTACAGATTAATAAATTTGGGCTTTAATGCAGTTAATCAAATTGAACGGTTATTTCGTGATTTTTCAAGGCTAATTGAATAGATATTGAATATTTCATTCTCTTGAAAATACCATGTTCTCGTTTTCTTTCACCACTGGACATTTTTTAATGAATAAAAAATTATTTTCCACGGTAAAAATTGCACTGAAAGAATTAATGAGTTGTGCCGAAAAATTATGTGTTCCCCTGAAGAGATATTTGTCTAATGATCTTCCAGGGGAATTGGTGGATAGTTCTGGGTTCACTTGACTTCAGATTTTTGTCGTTGATGATAATCAGTTGATTTTTTACGTACAGATTAATAAATTTGGGCTTTAATGCAGTTAATCAAATTGAACGGTTATTTCGTGATTTTTCAAGGCTAATTGAATAGATATTGAATATTTCATTCTCTTGAAAATAGCATGTTCTCGTTTTCTTTCACCACTGGACATTTTTTAATGAATAAAAAATTATTTTCCACGGTAAAAATTGCACTGAGAGAATTAATGAGTTGTGCCGAAAAATTATGTGTTCCTCTGAAGAGATATTTGTCTAATGATCTTCCAGGGGAATTGGTGGATAGTTCTGGGTTCACTTGACTTAGATTTTTGTCGTTGATGATAATCAGTTGAATTTTTACGTACAGATTAATAAATTTGGGCTTTAATGCAGTTAATCAAATTGAATGGTTATTTCGTGATTTTTCAAGGCTAATTGAATGGATATTGAATATTTTATTTTTTTGAAAATAATATGTTCTCGTTTTCTTTCACCACTGGGCATTTTTTAATGGATAAAAAATTATTTTCCACGGTGAAGATTACACTGAAAGAAAAAACGAGTTGTGCCGAAAAATTATGTGTTCCCCTGAAGAGATATTTGTCCAAAAGAAAGTTTCCATCAATGCATGATAATTTTTGTTGTAACAATTGATATCCAAGTACTTTCGCTATTTTTTCTCCTGCGAAATGCTTCTACTTTTGCAGTCGAACATCAGAGCTTTCATTCGAGCCCCACGGTTTTATTATTTAAACTTTGAAGGTCTATAAAAAATTGAATCTCAACATTGAACCGCTCGACAACATTTTAAAAATCTGAAAAACACTATTTGTTTATTTTTGGAGGAAGATTGATGAAATAGTTGAAAAATTGCAAAAATATCTCCTAAACAATCAATTTTCCTCCATAAAAATCATTTGTTCAGAATCGTAACTAATTTACTCATATTCATAATTTTGCCAAAAATCAATTTCATATCTAAAAAAATTATGTTTCCGAAAGTTCACACAATTTCAATTATTTCTTTATAAACAACAAATGTTAAAAAAAATAATTCTTTGCAAAATGTAATTTTAATGACGCTGAATAGTGAATATTCATGACTCATGATTTTTTTAATTCTTCTCACGCGATTTGATTGACAAATTTGATGATTGAAAATGGTTGAATCTACAGTGTTGCCTGTACCAAACTGTAAAAGACACTTGGATACCCCTAAAACTTAGAGAATGAAACAAATTCTTTATTCAATTCCCCTAAACAATCTTCAAAATGAATAAAACAGTACTCGATTCAAATAAGCGATTTATTTGGAATATTTAGAAGGAAAAAAATCCCAAAAATTAATGCAAACGCATTAGAAACCTCTCCTATCAACCACTCCATAGCAATAATAATAATTACCCTCCCCCCCCCCGCGCAACTACTTTCAACAATACTGGACCGATCGGGGGTCCCAGAAGTTTAGCAATTACATATAAATTACGTACAAAGAGTGAAAGTGGATTGAGGATACCAAAAAGACGATCAGAAACTGTCGCGTTGCCGCCTAATTCGGCCTCGGCTGCCTCCACCGCTGTCTCTAAGCTCACCAGGTCAACGCTCGCTCTCGCAACGACGCGCTCGAGTGCGTCAATGCGTTTGCAGAGCTCCATCAGGGCTGGGTGAACCGAACGAAAGCGCACCAGGTGCTCAAACGTACATTCAGCTCGTAAATTTTGCACCTTTGGCATTAATTATCACTTCGTGAGTCGGGATGAATGTCATTAAAATGGCAGGGGAGTGGTCTGGGGACTGAATTGATTCATCTCGGTGAACAAAACGTCAATAAACTTTCTAAGTATCAACATGTTATAATTGGATCCATTACATTCATTTAACATTCGTGAATGTCGCAGCGTGAAGGAAATGATTGCTTTTTATTTGATTTTTTTTTTAAAGTAAAAATTGAGATTACTAGTCGATTAATTAAATTTCACAACATCGACGTTTTTCATTCGATGCTTTCAACGGCCGATTAATCGATTTTCGATTCTTTTTTCCAGACATCGATGTTTCTGACAAAATTTTTCATTTATTCTTCGACAAAAAAATGAAAAATTTTGTTAGCTTGGTCAGAATCAGAAAAATCGATGCTTTTGATTAATCGACAAAATTGTTTATTCTCAATCAATCAATTATTTTTCGACAAAAAAATGAAAAATTTTATTAGCTTGGTCAGAATCAGAAACATCGATGCATGAAAAATCGATGTTTTCGATTAATCGACAAATTTTGTTTATTCTCAATCAATCAACATTATTTTTCGACATAAAGAGAAAAATTTTGTTAGTTGGTCAGAATCAGAAACATCGATGCTTGGAAAAAAGTATCGAAAATCGATTAATCGGCCGTTCAAAACATCGAATGAAAAACGTCGATGTTTGGGCATGAAAAATCGATGTTTTCGATTAATCGACCAATTTTGTTTATTCTCAATCAATCAATTATTTTTCGACAAAAAAATTAAAAATTTTGTTATTTGGTCAGAATCAGAAACATCTTAGCTTGGAAAAAAGAATCGAAAATCGATTAATCGGCCGTTCTCAAAATCGAATGAAAAACGTCGATGTTTGGGCATGAAAAATCGATGTTTTCGATTAATCGACAAATTTTGTTTATTCTCAATCAATCAATTATTTTTCGACGAAAAAATTAAAAATTTTGTTACCTTGGTCAGAATCAGAAACATCGATGCTTGGAAAAAAGAATCGAAAATCGATTAATCGGCCATTCAAAACATCGAATGAAAAACGTCGAAGTTTGGGCATGAAAAATCGATGTTTTCGATGAATCGACAAATTTTGTTTATTCTCAATCAATCAATTATTTTTCGACAAAAAAAATAAAAATTTTGTTATTTGGTCAGAATCAGAAACATCTTAGCTTGGAAAAAAGAATCGAAAATCGATTAATCGGCCGTTCTCAAAATCGAATGAAAAACGTCGATGTTTGGGCATGAAAAATCGATGTTTTCGATTAATCGACAAATTTTGTTTATTCTCAATCAACATTATTTTTCGACAAAAAAAGAAAAATTTTGTTAGCTTGGTCATGATTTCATTGATGTTTGGGCATGAAAAATCGATGTTTTCGATTAATCGACAAATTTTGTTTATTCTCAATCAATCAACATTATTTTTCGACAAAAAAAGAAAAATTTTGTTAGCTTGGTCATGATTTCATTGATGTTTGGGCATGAAAAATCGATGTTTTCGATTAATCGACAAATTTTGTTTATTCTCAATCAATAAATTATTTTTCGACAAAAAAATTAAAAATTTTGTTACCTTGGTCAGAATTAGAAACATCGATGCTTGGAAAAAAGAATCGAAAATCGATTAATCGGCCGTTCTCAAAATCGAATGAAAAACGTCGATGTTTGGGCCCGAAAAATCGATGTTTTCGATTAATCGAAAACATCGCCCATCCCTGACTAGAATTCCCATCAAACGCAATTATTCCGCAATGTATTTGTTCACCGAGACCTCTAACCCCTCGGCATTTACTGACCATTCCAACGATTGACTCGAACTCCTCAAGACGAATCAGCATCTCGTCCACAGCCTCGTGCACTCCCCCCGTCTGCAGGTGCACAAGAGGTTATGACGCCATTCGCAACAAAAACATCGTCAATCCCCCCATTCACGGCCTCTCGTGTCCCCACAATTGTCTCCAGCAATGTCAATGTTCACGGATAATTGAAAAATGAGAACATTCTCACCTGACTCGGGAGGTCCACCTGGACAAACGCCGCATAGTCTCTCGCCGTCTCGGCAATCATCCTGTCGTTTACATTAGTCTTCACTCGATTATCCGACATTTTCGTCACACTTGCACTATTACCAAGACTCAACAATCATCAAAACATCATCATTGTTTCAATTCCACGTATTTAAGGCATTCAAACCTCACATTTTCATAACTTTTACGTTTCGATCTTCATTTATGCATCTGCAATAATTTATTTGGAAAGCATATATTTATAAAACTTAAGTAGAGAAGAAAAAATTGATTATTTCAGGAGTAATCGTCATGTGATAATAAATTAAATTGAAAAAGTTTAGTGACTACGGATGTCTTGTTATTTATTTTGATTTCTCGGTGAACAAATGGATTCACTTGAAAGAGGGTGGAGGGGGAATTGAATGGATGAGTTGGATGTGCGCACGCGTGGGATTTAGAAGGTTCACGTGACCTTCACCGGCGGACTGCATTCAAACGTGAAAATGATCGTTTGGTGGTGGAGGGCATTTGATCTTTGACATTGTTTTAGCAGTCTTTGCAGACGGTTTGAATGAATTCTCGGTAAACCGCGGTGTTTTTCAGCGGCGGATTAACTCACCGGTTGGATGATGAGGATGAGAAGAATAATGAAGCGATTAATGGCCGGGGTAATGAGGAGTTCATGAGAGGAACGCGTTGATGATTGTAGATTACAATTGTTGCAGTGGTGACGACTGATTTGGTGATTAGTTTTTCATTCTCGGTGGTTTGTCAGCTGAAGGTGGCATTGCGTAATTTAATGCATTTTTCTATTGTTTATTTATTCAGTTATTTATTTATTTATTCGTCTTAATCACACGTGATTGACAATTTTATTCTCTACGCAAAATTTTGAAGTGGCCAGTTTTCAAGAAATATCTCGGAATCTGTGGGAGATGGAAAAATTTTTGTTATGACCTTTTTTGTAGAGTGAATTCAGAGCTACGGAAAATGTTCTCACGAAAATTTCGCTATCTCCCTTAGATTCGGAGATATCGTGAAGGAGATATTGTGAAGCGGTAATTGGTTCATGTCGATTTTGACTGTTGGCCGATTTTCAGTAAATATCTTGAAATCTGAGGGAGATAGCGAAATTTTGGTGAAAATATTTTTTGTAGCCCCCAATTCGCTCTTCAAAAAAGGTCATTACAAAAATTTCATTACCTCCCTTGCATTTGGAGATATTCCTCAATCTTATTATTGGTATTTGGAAATTGTGTTGAAAAAAATGTTCTGATGAAACAATTTCTCCCTCACTAATAATTAAGGAAGAATTAGTTGATCGCAATCAGCGGAATTATTCCCACTTTCACTATCTGACATCGATCCATTTGAAACTGTGGATCGAAGTACTAATACTGAGACTTTTCCGCATTTATACTGCTCTCATCCGCTACAAAAAAAATATTGAAGAATGTAGGCCGCAAAAAAAGTGAGAGGACGTTTGTGAAAGAAATGTGTAAAACTCCAGTTGATTTAATGAGTTTTGCAACTCTCCATATGATACTATTCCCATTCACATCAATTCCACATCCCCACAGAATTGCCGAATGAGGGAATTCTTTATTGACACATCAACATTGAATCAGAATTATCATAATTCCGTTGCGAAAGATTGTTATTCCTCATCTGTATTTATTTCGGGAGTGTTAATTTCATTTAAAAAACACGCAATATATGCGCAGATGTCCAGTTTACGAATATTCACGGCTAAATTTAGAATTATTCACGGGATTTACGACTTTGTCAGATTCAACTCATCAAGATATTGAAAATAAAAATATTTTTAATTATTTAATAATAATTTAATTGTTATTAAATTTTATTATTATTAATTATAAAATGAATTATTTTATCATTATTATAGTTACTATAAATATTTTAATTAACTAATTACAATTAGTTAATTATATTATTATATTATTATTATATTTTTAATTAAAAAAATAAATAATTAGCAATGTAAATATCCAACCAAATCCACTCGTTAACAATAACTAATCGTTTCTATCCATGTCGTTGGAGTTTCTGTCTCTCTTCAGTTGCCAAATGTGATCAGCGGTCGGTTCGCGTTTTTTTTTCTGACGCTATCGTAACTTTACGTTTGTTATTTGCCGAGAGCTGCAGGGAGGTGGAGATTTCCAGAGGAAGTTCTTCAACGGGGAAAACCGAATGTTTTTTCGGGTAAATATTAGAGACACGTCTGTTTGCGGGTAACATATTTCATCGAGTAATTTCAGTGGTTGAGGGAAACGAAGAGACCGCCGATTAGTTCTCAGAAAAGGCCGGGGCTATTTTATACGCTGGTCCGAGATTTTGAATGGCACGAGGAAAAATTCCTCTCTACGCTGATTAAGAGAGAAAAAATTCCTCTTCCGAAAAACTACATGTTCCACGTGAGAATATTTGACGGAGTAGAACAGATTTTATAGGAAATCCTGTTGAAAATTTCATATGAAATCCTACAGGAAATCCTATAGGATTTTATACTGTAGGAAATCCTATAAGATTATATGCTATAGAACATCCTATAAGATTATATGCTATAGAAAATCCTTTAGGATGATATGCTATAGAAGATACTATAGGATTATATGCTATATAAAATCCTATAGGATTATATGCTATAGGAAATCCTATAGGATTATATGCTATAGGAAATCCTATAGGATTCTATGCTATAAAAAATCCTATAGGATTATATGCTGTAGGAAATCCTATAGGATTGTGTGATATAGGAAATCCTATAGGATTGTATGCTATAAAAAATCCTATAGGATTATATGCTATAGGAAATCCTATAGGATTATATGCTATAAAAAATCTTATAGGATTATATGCTATAAAAAATCTTATAGGATTATATGCTATAAAAAATCTTATAGGATTATATGCTATAAAAAATCTTATAGGATTATATGCTATAAAAAATCTTATAGGATTATATGCTATAAAAAATCTTATAGGATTATATGCTATAAAAAATCTTATAGGATTATATGCTATAAAAAATCTTATAGGATTATATGCTATAAAAAATCTTATAGGATTATATGCTATAAAAAATCTTATAGGATTATATGCTATAAAAAATCTTATAGGATTATATGCTATAAAAAATCTTATAGGATTATATGCTATAAAAAATCTTATAGGATTATATGCTATAAAAAATCTTATAGGATTATATGCTATAAAAAATCTTATAGGATTATATGCTATAAAAAATCTTATAGGATTATATGCTATAAAAAATCTTATAGGATTATATGCTATAGAAAATCCTTTAGGATGATATGCTATAGAAGATACTATAGGATTATATGCTATAAAAAATCTTATAGGATTATATGCTATAGGAAATCCTATAGGATTGTATGCTATAGAAAATCCTATAGGATTGTATGCTATAGAAAATCCTATAGGATTATATGCTATAGAAGATACTATAGGATTATATGCTATAGAAAATCCTATAGGATTATATGCTATAGAAAATCCTATAGATTTATATGCTATAGAAGATCCTATAGATTTATATGCTATATAAAATCCTGTAGGATTATATGTCATAGGAAATTCTATAGCATTATACGCTATAGAAAATCATATAGAATTATACGCTATAGAAAATCATATATAATTATATGCTATAGAAGATCCTATGAGATTATATGCTATAGGAAATCCTATAGAATTATATTCTATAGAAAATCCTACAGAATTATATGCTATAGGAAATCCTACAGAATTTTCTCATACGTGATTCAGAGCAAAATGTCAAATAAAGGCTGTTACTCACCTCAACTGCGTAATTCCTCCAGATTTCCACCAAAATGTTAAAAATTCTCTCCTCGCCCATTCGACCAACAAACAACATTAGCCCCCGAAAAAACGATTCGAAAACCCTAAGACTTATCAGCGCAAAATAATGCGTAGCTAATTGATTTCAAGGATCGGGCGAATTCGCCCAAGTTGAATCGCACGGCGACTAGAGGTGGGTCAGTAACAGCAGTTGCGCTTCGTAAACATACGAGGTGAACGGGTGAAAGAAGAAAAAGTATCCCGGCACGTCCACCTTTCGTCTCTCTCTCTCTCGCTCTCTCGCACTCCGATGGGTTTTTAAACTCTGGTCAACATGTAATTCATAAAAGTGGGGAGTCAGGATTGTGCTAGGTTCTTAACTTCAACCCGAACTGTGGTCACTCCTGATGGACATACACTAGTGAGTGCACGACCACCTCGAGAAACGCATTCAGTTATGGTAAGTGCGAAATGAGTCTCTTCTTTTTTACACCGCGAGGATAATCGGTAGTGGAGCGGTAGAACGATTCAGTCGACTCGGCTCTTAGCTGAGTTTTTGAGGAGTCTCTCGGAATCTAGGGGAGATAGCGAAATCTTCGTGGGGACATTTTTTGTAGCTCTCAGTGAGCTCTACAGAAAAGGTTTTCACAAAAATTTTCCTATCCGCCTCGGATCCCGAGATATTCAGTGAAAATCGGACAATAATCGAAACCGAGTTGAATCGGTTTAACGCTTCGCTACTGAAATAGTTAACGGTGTCGGTCGCTCTGGGGTGAATACTTCACGGGTCTTTTAATGATATTGCTGAGAAGATGATGATGATGATTAATGAACGAAGAACTAGGTGGGATTATTGGAAAATGCCGGGATTTTTATTCTGCATTTTCCTTTCTCTATTGCGGCAATAGAGCAGGAATTCATTGCACACTAATTTTTTTTAGTCGTTTAAGGTGCGGATTCCTTTTTTACAGAATGGTTATTCATTTATCACAAGATATTTTCGCAAACAAGTTTTCGACGATTTTTTTTATTGGGGATTGACCAATTTGTGGGTTTAAATTAATGGGAGTTTTTTAGTTCTATGAAAGGGATGATTTTTTAATTTATTTTTTGTGTTTGTAAACGATGGGATGGAAATCAAATCAAATTTGGAGGTTTTTTACGAACTATTTGGAGGAACTCATTCATCTGATATGAATGAACCACTTCTCTGCGGGTATTTATAGTCATCGATTGTTTTATCAATATGAATAAATTGGGTGAACTTGATGGGAAATGTTCAACGAACAAGTTGAGCCCAAGTGCGTGGAAATCGGGTGGAATACGTGACTTGAAAAAATTTTTATATCCAAAAATATTGATATTGAACAATGTCAACAAACCAGCATTCAGCACCTCCATCAATCCCACATTGAGAGAAAAACAAACACATTGTCAAATAAGTCTTGTTTGGGCCAACAAAATCGCTAGTTGAAAATAGCCAAAAAAGAATTTGTTTGGTTCGAATTTGAAAGTCTCAAACATGAATAATTGCTCTGCTTTCGACAGTAACGAAATATTTGGCTCAAGAGGCGGATAATTCACACCAGACGGTGCCTTTTCAGGATGAAAATACCTCATACAGAGGAAAATTTATCAACTAATATTTTATCCCTAAGTTACAAGATTGCTATCATATCATTATTACTGTTTCATTTGAGGGTTCATTTCAGTAGCGAAGCGGTAAACCGGGTCAAGTCGGTTTTTACTTTTGGCCATTTTTTGATGAATATCTCGGAATCTAAGAGAGATAGCAAAATTTTGCTCATGACCTTTTTTGTAACCCTGAGTTGGCTCTACAAAAAAGGTTATGACAAAAATTTTTGTATCTCTTTTAGATTCCGAGATATTCGTCAAAAACTGGCCAACAGTTAAAATCGACTTAACCCGGTTTACTGCTTCGCTCCTGATTTGTTGTCTGTGATTATTAGACAGCCGAAACTACTATCCCTTGTTTCGCATAAAACATAGATTTTTCGGGAGCAAAATGCGTATGGGAGTATCGAATAACGAAGGAGTGGTGCTAGAAATGACATTTCTTGCGTCTACAGAGAATGCAATTTTTTTTGAACTACTAAATCTATTTTTGCGACAAAAAATTTTCGTTCCAGTGCACTGTCTGTATGTTTGGCGCAACAAATCCTTTTTTTTATTTATTTTGTTTATTCAAGTCAAGACAGCCGAGGCCAATTACAAGACTTATAAATAGTATGGAAATTCAAACGCATTGCGATTAAATATTCACGTTAGGTAGTGTATATAAGACGATACACAACCGTGTAGCTCGATGTAACATAATAAATGGTATCTACAAGTGTGCAGAAGCAAGGGAGAATATGAAGATAGTAATTATAGCAATGTGGAGATGATCATTATAAAATTAACATCAATAATGGGTTTTTACCGTGACATATGCATTATTTACTAGAGAGTCCATAGAGTCGTTGAAAATATCAACATCAGGGTACAAACTCAATACCAAATTCAGAGCAATACCTGCCTGACGCATTGGAGAGGATGGAGCCAGGTGATTCTTTGGCTTGGGAAGATAAATTCAGTAGCGAAGCGGTAAACCGGGTTAAGTCGTTTTTTACTATTGGCTAGTTTTTGACGAATATCTCGGAATCTAAAAGAGATAGAAAGATTTTTGTCATGACCTTTTTTGTAGAGCTAATAAAGCGTTATAAAAAAAGTCATGAGAAAAATTTTGCTATTTCTCTTAGATTCCGAGATATTCACCAAAAACTGGCTAATAGTCAAAATCGACTTAACTCGGTTTACCGCTTCACTACTGAATTATTGATTTAGAGCGAGCGGATGAACGCGGAACTTTCAAGTTCACGCAACCCAGCAATTCAGGACAGTCAATGTTTCGAAGAATTTTTTATTAAGAATATAATCAGCATCTTCGCCCTCTGTTGTTCAAGACTTAAGAAGTTAAAACGCTCACACAGGCGGCGATAATTACACCCTCGCTCCGGGTAGACCCCACCCTCTCGCCAGCATAGGAATATTAGAAAACGTTTCTGGATCATCTCGAGATTCTGAATGTATTTCGCGTACAGCGGCGACTACACTACGCAACCATATTTCAATTTTTTACTGTTGAAGTTACTGCAAGTCCTAATTATAAAACCAGTTTTTGATAATTTTCAAAAAACGATTTTCTCGGCAAATGCAAGACTTGTTGGAGAACTTTGTCGTTTTTCTCTCAGTGAAAAAAAAAATCCTATTTTACGCAAAGAAAATTCAACTCATCCCCGGTATTTTTTTCTGCCACGACTACTCCAAACGATTTTCACGAATATCAGACTATAATTCCACGGTCTGTTGATCCTCGGGTTGCGTGGAGGTGAATCAAATGTTTCGTCGTCAGTCGAAAAATGTCTCTGTCGCAAAGATTGTGGTTTTTCGCTCGCCTTTTACTGAGAAAGTACCAGAAATTTTTGGCAGATCGAATCAAGTGATCTCTCTCTCTCCCCCCCTGACCCCCCCCCCCCCTCCCTCGCCCGTAGAAAATGTTGCACACGAAATTGCTGAATGTTTAGTGAAATTGATTGCTGTTGCAGCGAGAGACTAGCCTCATAATCACCATGTACGTATGAGCATTAGGCGAAGCGCTATTATTGGATGAATAAATTTACCTCGATATTAATATCAGTGCAATTTCTGGAGTAAAATATCGCCCGAACTGCCTCAATTACGCAAGTACCTGTGCTACCTAATGTAGAAAGGATTCAACTATGTAATGCTCACGTCTCGGGACGCAATCAGAAATTAATCAGAAAGCGTTTCGCCGGATCAACGTGACAAGTGCAGCAGAATTTTTTCCAGTTTTTGTCTGGATTTTTCGCTAGCTAATCTGCTGAATTTATCTCGCGTCGTCACGGGTATTGCGAGAGTGTTGGGTCATGTTGTGGGTTTGATATGGGTGTGATATGTGGGAATGGGATTTGAGAATATTCCAAGGAAGGAACTCGAGGTCTGGAGGGGCAAGAGTATTTTTCCGTTGATGGTTTTCATTTTTTTTGGGGAAGTGAGAGGCGAACCTAGGGATTTGGCAATCGATGTCGAGTTCTGGGAGGCGAGAATCAATCAAGACTTCGGAATAGTATTCTTTATAATATTTAGTCAATTAAAGAAAGTGGCGGTTTTATTTGGAATTCATCCCTTGATTCAAGAATATTATTTGTTAAATTTAAGAGTCATATACTCGAATCTAATATTTCTTCTTGTTGAATTCAAGTAAAGTCATTTTATTTCTCATTTTTGGGAGAAATGCTGGTTTATCAATTCGAGGAAATGCGGAAAATCGCCGGGGGTTGGATTTGAACCCAAGTGAATAATTTATTAATTCTAGATAAATCGGTTATTTGAATTGAATAGCTGTTTCATTTTGAAGAATTGTTTACTTGAATTCAATAAATAATCTGTTTCACTCTCGTAAATTCTACCCAACGTGAACAGGATTCAACTATCAAATGCTTGGAAATTAATCAGAAAGCGTTTCGCTGGATCAACGTGACAAGTGCAGCAGAATTTTTTCCAGTTTTTGTCTGGATTTTTCGCTAGCTAATCTGCTGAATTTATCTCGCGTCGTCACGGGTATTGCGAGAGTGTTGGGTCATGTTGTGGGTTTGATATGGGTGTGATATGTGGGAATGGGATTTGAGAATATTCCAAGGAAGGAACTCGAGGTCTGGAGGGGCAAGAGTATTTTTCCGTTGATGGTTTTCATTTTTTTTGGGGGAAGTGAGAGGCGAACCTAGGGATTTGGCAATCGATGTCGACTTCTGGGAGGCGAGAATCAATCAAGACTTCGGAATAGTATTCTTTATAATATTTAGTCAATTAAAGAAAGTGGCGGTTTTATTTGGAATTCATCCCTTGATTCAAGAATATTATTTGTTAAATTTAAGAGTCATATACTCGAATCTAATATTTCTTCTTGTTGAATTCAAATAAAGTCATTTTATTTTTCGTTTTCGGGAGAAATGCTGGTTTATCAATTCGAGGAAATGTGGAAAATCGCCGGGGGTTGAGTTTGACTTCAAATAAATAATATAATATAAAAATATGTAAATAATATATTGCATTAAATATACAATTCGTTCCACTCCCATAAATTTAATTTATTTCGAAATTAATGAACCGAGTGGTATCACATAAACAGTCTCGCGTTTCTTTCCATCTTTGTTGAATTATTTGTATTATAATTTTAGTTTAGAGGATCAACTAACCGCTTATTCAATTCAAATGGACTATTTCGCAGACTCAAAGGAATCCCTCATTTCAATCTAATAAACTCCCTATTCAAGGCAAATAATTCAAAGTTCTTACTCCGAATAAGACTCGTTGTTTCTTGCACGGAGAGAAATGTTCAGTAAAAATTACGGACCTCACAATGCACTCGCCGATCACGGAATCGACTCACAAAATTTAAGTGACGGTATTCGTAATTTTTCACAGGAGTTTCAGCTACCAATTACGGAACACTCCGGAAAAATTCCGTGGCAGTTCCGTAAAATTTCCTACAACGACATTTCGCTCTGGAGTTACGGAAAAGAAACGTAATTTTTATTGAATATTTATCTCCGCGTGTTAAACCCATTCCACCGACCAAAAATTACCCCCCGAATAATCGAATATTTCTCGTCACCCCATAAATTACCCTCATAAATATATAATACATCACTTATTCAATTCCCCACACGCACTTTCTCGTAAATAAATTACATGGGACATTAAATTCTTTATTTATGCTCATCGAATTTCCATCAGCCACCAATGCCTCATGTCATTATTCTTCAGCACCTCCGAAAACCTCATCGACTCCATAAATTTCAGATGGCGGGTATCAAAGGCGATGGCGAACTGAGCGAGATCCAATCGTTTTACAAGGGCAAAACGATATTTATAACTGGGGCCTCGGGTTTTATGGGGAAAGTACTCCTGGAGAAGCTTCTGTACAGCTGCAGTGGCCTAGACCGCATCTACATTCTCCTGCGTTCGAAACGGGGTCGAACACCGGAGCAACGAGTGGAGGATATGTTTAAACTTCCCGTAGGTACATTACCGCCACGCCTCTCTCACTCCCAGAGAAATCATTTCTATTCTATTCTGATAACGAATTTGTCCAGAATTCATCAGCGAAGTGGGAAAACGGTTCTAGCCGATTTAGCCCTTAACCGAGTTTTCGAGGAATATCTCCGAATCTAAGGGAGATGATGAAATTTTCGTAATGACCTTTCTTGTAGAGAAAGTCGAGGGCTACAAAAGAGGTTATGACAAAAAATTTGCTATCTCCCTTAGATTTCGAGATATTCATTGAAAATGGCCAATAGCTAAAATCGACTTGAACCGGTTCGCAATTGAATTGAGGGATTATTCATTGCATATGGGGCAAAATGGACTGTTAGGAACCTTTTTGTTTCTGTTTTGACCTTTGATTTAATCTTTAGATAATTTCACCCTCAAAACCATTTGACTCTCAACTAGAAACAAATGGTTCTGAGGGTCAAACGATCCTTAATGAGGGTTGAAATAGAGGGTAAAATGACCTTTGAGGACGTTTAATCTCTAGATAATTTTCCCCTGCTTCAAACATTCTCAAAGGTCATTTGACCCTCACATAGAAATAAGTGGGTTTGAGGGTTAAACGACTCCCAAGGACGTTGGACCTTCAACTATACACGTCTTCAAGAGTCCCTTGGTCTTTGCAAAAATTTTACCCTCAACTCCAAACGTCCTCAAGGGTCGTTTGACCCTCCACTCCACACATTCTTAAGGGTCATTTGACCCTCAAAACCATTTTACCCTCAACTAGAAACGAGTGATTCTGAGGGTCAAACGACCCTCAGGATTATTTGACCCTCAACCCTGAACGTCTTCAAGCGCCTGTTGGCCCTCGAGACGATTTGACCCTCCACTCTAAACGTCCTTACGGGTCACTTGACCTCTAAAACCATTTGACCCTCAACTCCAAGTATTCCTAAGGGTCGTTTGACCCTCAAGGTCACATCACCCTTAAGAAGTCCACTAATTAAAAAAAAAAATTGAAATGAATAGCAACTTATAGAGAACATTTTTGACATAAAAAAATTGATTTCCATCATATTTAATTCTATTATTCATCAACAATACAAATCACAGTGTACAAATTTCCTGACAATTGTTAATATCACGAATGAAAAATGCCATCAGTTATTCGAGAGACTCCGCAAAATTCAACCGGATGCCATCAATAAATTAACAGCATTACCGGGTGACGTCACACTACCCAATCTCGGTCTCACGGAAGGCCAGCGTGATCTTCTCGCGGACAGAGTGCAAATCGTATTCCACGGTGCAGCGACATTAAAACTCGAGGCCAAGCTCAAGGACGCAATTGAGATGAATACGATTGGGACGGATTCAATGCTACAGCTGGCGAGACGTATGAAAAATCTGCAGGTCTTTGTGCATTTGAGCACTGCATTCTGCCATGTAGACCAGGAGGAGCTCCATGAACGGGTTTACGATGCTCCGGATGATCCGCACGAGGTCATGAGGCTCGTCAGATGGCTCAAAGAGGACGCTCTCGATCTCATCACTCCGAAGTGAGTGATTAATGTTTTTTCCCTTGATTACTCATTACCGAGACAATTTCATGCGAATGAATGAGTTGAAAGAGTGATTTTTTTTACGGTCAAACTTTTTTATTTTTGTTAATTAGGTATTTGTCTGGTGAATAAATCACATTAGGGAAAATGTTTGACCCTTATGAGCATTTGACCCTTAACGGTGAGAGCTCTTAAGGTTCGTTTGACCCTCAACACCATTTGTTTCTAAGTGAGGGTCAAGGGGTTCTAAGGGTTAAATTACCCTCAATGACGTTTGGAGTTGAGGGTCAAATGGGCCGGAGAGTCCATAGCCCTTAATGACGTTTGAACTTGCGGGTCAAATGGTCCTGAGAGTCGAACGACCCTTAATGCCGTTGACGTCTAGGGGTCAAATGGTCATTAAAGTCAAACGAATTCTGAAGGTTCGTTTGACTCTCAAACCTATTTGACCCTCAAGGTCAACCAAGCCTTAATGACGTTTGGAGTTGTGGGTCAAATGGACATAAAAGTCAAACGAATTCTGAAGTTGAGAATGAGAATGTCTCGAGGGTCAAATAGCCCTTGACGACGTGGGTTAAGGGTGACCCCATTAGATCCTTAGAACCATTTCACCCTTAACGCTAAACGTTCTCAGAGGTCCTTTGACCCTCAACATGATTTGACCCCCAACTTCAAACGTCCTTAAGCATCATTTGACCTTGAAAACCATTTGTTTGTAGTTGAGGGTCAAACAACCCTTCAGGAAGGTTACATTTGTGGGTCAAATCGTCTTGAGGGTCAAGCGGCCCTTAAAGGCGTTGGATTTTCTCGTAAACCATCAATTCTATATTAAAATATCGTAAAACCTTCTTTGCAGTGAACGAAATTCCCCACAATAAATATCGCTTGACACTTCTCACAACTCATTTTCTCATTCTCGAGATAATTCCACGTCTACCAACATCTGCAAAATTATCATGTCACACGAAGTAAAAAACCTGTTCACATGACGATCATAAACTTCATTAGAGCCTCATGAATTCAACGAGCCGTTCTTCATTCATTAATAATCAAAAACACTGGATCACTCACTTGTTAATTGCTTCAGAAAATATTCCACGGAAGAATGTTAAATTCTTGTTATTTCATTTTATGGTCTCGTCATTTACAGACTCCTGGAACCTCATCCGAATACCTATACATATTCAAAGAGATTGGCGGAGACATTGGTGGCCAATGAGTATCCGAATATGCCTTGCGTAATCGCGAGACCTTCCATCGGTGAGTGGTCAAGGTCACGAAGGATTCGAAATTATACTGGCATTCTGCAATTTTTACGCTTCGTTTTTTTTTCTGGCGGCCGAGGTGGCGGGGAGAGACGAAATGAAACACTATTTATTATTTATTTTTATTTATTAATATACTTGAAAATCTGGCGAATTTGATAGAACATTCTGTTGGATTTATATTGAACTTATGCTATTGAGATGTTTTCTATAGAAATTCCTCGACTCAAATTTTCAGAATTTTTTTGTTTTTTTAAAGATAAGAAAAAATTGAGATTAAAAATTTGAAAAATTGATGTCAAGGAAGTTCTATCGAAAGTGCCTCAATAGAAAAAGTTGTATAGAAAGATGAAATTCTACTGATTTTTTTCTATAAAATAATATTCAAGTTCTATTTTTACTTCTTTATCTTTTTTTCATTTATTAATTTACCGAAAAACCTAGCGAATTCACTAGAAAATTCTGTTGGATGTCTATTCAACTTTCTATTAGTTTTTGGTCGATTCTATTAAAAAATTCCGCAGTTTGTTTTTTATCATGAAAATATCCAGTGGAAAAGATTCTAGATGAAAAATAAATAGAATTTATTTGCTGTTTCCATTCATTTAAAACGAATAAAACCAATAAAAATAATCAGTAATTGGTGAAGTCAGTTAATTAATTAACTAAAAATTGAATTTAGGTTTAATAGAAGAAAACAATGTATTGAATACCACAGAATATTCGCTTTTACTAGTGTTTCATTTTCTCAGTCTCCCAATAATCATATTTATATACCTAGGCATGTTATGAATATTATTATTGGGTTTAATAATTTGATGATTGAATTTTCAGTCACACCGGCATGGGAGGAACCTCTGCCAGGCTGGGTGGACAGTCTCAATGGCCCAGTGGGGCTCATCGTTGGGGCTGGTAAAGGAGTGATCAGATCAATGCACTGCAACGGGAATTATCATGCCGAAGTCGTTTCCGTTGATTTCGCCATTAATGCACTTATTGCTATTGCACAGAGGGTTGGAAGTGCCAATAGCAGGTATGACCATTTTTACTGAATAATTGATGAACCGAAGTTGAACAGCGTCCAACGAATTAATATCAAATGGCAATACGATTTTAAATAGTTGATGATAATTTTATGAAAGAAAATTCAGTAGAAAAAACTGATAGGTTTTTCTCTTCTGAGTGCATGTAATTTTGATTCAGATCAGCTTCGAAATTTGGGTAGAGGAAGGGGAATAGAATTGAATTAAAAAATTAAATGAAACTAATTGGGAATTTCAGGTCATTTTTCAGAGAAATTTTCACAAAAACTTTACTATTTCCCTTTAATTCCAAAACACTCAAAAAAATTGAAATAAGACAATAAAATCTTTTAAAAATTTGATAAAATATTAACGATAATTAATCAAATATTCTCACAAAACTTGACTGCTTCCCTTCAATTCCAAAATATTTTCCAAAAATTAATCTTCATCCAAAACGAATGTATTAAAAAAATATTAACGAGAAAAGTAATGACTTCATCTCCCCTGAGTGCATGAAATCTGGATTGAAATTGAACAGAGTAATTTCGAAATTCTCTAAAAAGAAGAGAAAGAAGTTTTTTTCATTCATAACGAGACGTAAACGGTTACCGAATGAAGAAATTTCCCCAAATGAAGAAATTAAACTAATTGAGGGTTTCAGAACTCCAAATATGCCGGTATTCAACATCACTCAAAGCCGAGTGGTTCCAGTTACATGGGCTGACGTGCTGGAGAAAGGAAAATCGGTTGCATACGAATTCCCCTTCGACGGTGCAATTTGGTATCCAGACGGGGATATTCGGAGCAGCAAATTTGTGCACAATTTGTTTGTCTTCTTTTTTCACATTATTCCTGCGTATTTCATTGATTTCCTCATGCTGATATTCAGGCAAAAACGATTGTGAGTATTGGAGAGTTATTTTTTAATTGGCTTTTCGATTTTCATTTTCTTTTTCTGTGGGAAAAAATGCAATTATCCCGTTGGGAATGTTTTCATTGCTCTTTAATTTTTTTTGTTGCAGTATGGTACGAATTCAGAGGAGAATTTCTGACGGCCTTGAGGTGTTGCAATACTTCACGACGAGGGACTGGGTCTTCCACAACACGAATTTACTCAATTTGTGGGAGAAGATGAGTCCGCAGGACAAACAACTGTTCAATATTAATTTCCTCGGTATTGATGATTTGGAGTACATAAAGAGGATAATTCTGGGGGCGAGGCAGTACTGCATGAAGGAGAAGATGGAGGATCTGCCGAGGGCACGAATGCACTTGAAATTGTGAGGAAGAAAATTTGTTAATAATTCCATGATGATTCAACGAGATATTTGATAGGAAAAAGTCAATAGTTTTCGATTTTTCTGTATGAATATTCTCTTTGAATTTTTTCTATGCGAATGGGCCTGAATTTTCTAAATTTTTTAAACTTAGAAAATCCGTGGCCAGTAATTTTAATAGAAAAAATCTCAAGGGAAAAATTCAAATGGAAAAATCGAAATCTAGTGACTTTTTCCTATCAAATATCTCATTCTAATCAATTCTAGAGAATTTCAATAGCATTTTCTAACCAATTCGCTGAGGTTTTCTATTAATTTTTTTCACACGTGATATGTGACTTTAACAAATCTGATCCTTCCAGAATCAATTTCATTGAAGAAATTTCCCACAAAACTCAATATTTTTTATTTCAGCCTCTACGTCATCCACTTGATCGCAGTCTACGGTTTCTACTATCTCGTCCTATCAACAATAATAAAAAACTTTGAGTTCACCAGATACTGTCTTGACCTCGTCACCGAAAAGATGAAGTACTTACCGATTCTCGGACGTTTTGTAGACAGAGCAGCTCCAGCATAAAATCCACCCTCAACTTCTGAAATTGTAATTCCCCCAAAATATTCCAGGTAAAATCCAAAAATCAACGAATAAATCCCCAAAAACAATAAAAGAAAATGATTGCTCCATCGACAAAAATGTATCTGTACAAAACCATCTATTTTACACATTGAAATTACTTCCAAATATAATAGATATAATATATTTCAAGTTGACAACGTAAACAAGATAATTTTCTTTACAAATTACAAGTATTCTCATTCTTTAGGAAATATAAAAAAATTTTTCCTGACGATTGATTTTTCATTATTACCTTAAACACTAGGGCAATCTCATCGATTGGATATCACTCTCACCGAGCAATTCTCGTATTCTAATATCCTTGGTCATTTCGTACCTTAAGCCTAACTATCAATGAAAAATTATGGAAAAACGTTTGGACCTCCCTGTTTTTTTTAATTTTAATAATTTCCCCTTTGTGTTCACGAGTGAAATGAAAATTGCACGACTCGAGGAAAACGAGGTGAAACATTGACGAATAACTTTTAATCATTCGTTATCTCCTCTGAAGTCGCTTAGCAGTCAAACGTTTGTGAAATTTATTGAACTGACGATGGTGTCGCCAGAGCATGTGCAACACTAGAGATGCTTTCGTGTGATAGGCTCTTTGTGCTCGAGCTGAGGCATCCTCTGGACAATGGTAACACCTGAGATATTTGGTAACACAACATGCGGGGTTTTTCCGCTTCTTTGATTCAATCTTTCGCTTTTCCTCTTCTTCTTCCTCGATTTCTGCTTGAGTCAGGACCTTTCGGGGCTCTCGCTGCTTTCGAGATCTACTTCGGCCATTTGATTCACTATATTTGTAAGAAATTATTAGAAGTTAGCGTTAATTTAGGGGAGAAATGGTTGGAGGGGAGGTCGAGGATTTTTTTTTCACTTGAGAAAAGTCGAAATATTTAAATTTTAGGAAATAAATTCGTGAATTTGACGCATTGGAGATTCAATTTCGGATTTTTTTTCTATGCTTTGCAATATTTAAAACAGTATTTTTAAAAAATTGAACTATTAAAATGCCAGTTCATTCGAAATATTTTAGAAATTGACAACAGAAATTATTTCGAGTAAAATTTTTCTGGTTCAAAAAAATTTAATACACTTCAGCAGCGAAACGGTAAAATGGTTCAAGTCGATTTTGACTATTGGTCAGTTTCCACCGAATATCTCGGAATCTAAGGGAGATACAAAAATTGTGGTTAAGACCTTTTTTCTAGCCCTCGATTCGGTCTACAAAAAAGGTCATTACGAGAATTGCAGTATCTCCCTTAGATTGTGAGATATTCCTCAAAAACTCAGGCGAGCCCCAAATCGACTGAAACCATTTTACCGCTTCGCTACTGAATTTTATTCATCATGTTCAATGACAACGAAATATTAATTGATATCAATTAATTAAATCCCAAATATTGCAGATTTTTCAGAAGGATATTGCGAATTTTCTCAAGCAAATGGACTTTTTGGTAAAATAACTTCTCATAAATGTTGTTTCACTTTGAAGTCGTGTCTTTGAGCTTCAAAATGAAAAACTAATTATTTTCATTTGGAATTTCCGTTCGAAGGATATTGCAGGTTTAAATAGGTCCATTTTAGGAGCTTATGGTTTATTTTTCCTTTAGTTGACTGAGTTGGGATAGTTCAGGCAGTTAATTTGGGTAATTTATGTCACACCTGACGTATGTCCAGTTATCCTCGTTTTGTGTGCGTTGTTCGCTCTTTATTGCCTTATTCGGCGATTATCACAATTACCATCTCGTGGCTGCTACCACTGCGGCACTGTTTTCACACAACTTTCATTTAATTTCGGAATCTACAGTTACTTTTTCATATGCTTCTTAAACACGTGAACATGAGTACGTAATAAAAACAATGGGGAGTTTATAATTGAAGATTATGCGGAATTTGAGAAAATCCAAGTAGGATAATTTATTTATTATGGTTTTTTTTTAATGTAACAAATTGCGAATTGCAATAAAATCATTGAGATGAAGAATTAATAGTTTTCTTTCAATTAATTTTCGTGAATTCACGAGTCTGAAGATGAAAAAATAATTATTTAATAACTTTTAAAATGTAATTTAGATGAATTTTCCTCAAATTCAACAAAAATACTTCTTCAAAATGTACATAAAGAACGTTAAATAATTACTCTGAACAAACGTGCTGTTTACATAAATAATCAACTAAATGATAATCAAAAAGGCGAAAAAAACTGAAAACGCATACAAAACGAAAATAAAATGACGTGTCAAGTGCCGCATTGCATAAATTAACTGGCGAATATGTAAATATTGGATAAAAATATGCACAATGACTAGAAAAACGAAATGTTTAAATAAAACATTGGAGGGAGAAGGAAAATAATAAGATGTGATATAGGTAAACTATTCAACAGGCAAGCTAGGTTATACCAGACTAGAGTGCTACATGAACTTATTTTCTTCTTCTTCTTTTTCTTCTTTTTAAAGTTGCGACGAATTTACTCACCCAAGGATTGTCGTCGGTGGTGGCACAACGGCGGCTGCTGGAGCTGGGAATACTGGAGGTCCGGGGGGTGGTCTGCCGCCGCCTGCAGGACTGCGAAAATAATTTTTTTAGTATTTTTGTTAAGGATAAATTGGTTAGAAAAGGTCCATTGAGGGAGAATAAATTTTAATTTAAGAGCCAGGTGTACTATCTTTCGAACGTTATCTCGATGTTTTTTTCATCTTTCGTCATCTGAAATTGTCAAATAAGTCCTGCATCATGCAGAAGTTTTGAAAAATTATGAATGAATAATAAAAAAAAGTAGAAAAAATTCTCAATTTTTTCACAGAGCATTTTTAATTTATCTTCAGAATAAGTTGAATAACAAGAAATTGAAAAATGTATCTGATTTACGGTGACAAATGGCGGCCTGTCACCCAATATCATGCAGGGGGAAGACTGATTTCGCAAATCTTTTCCCACACTGCACAGAGACATTTATTACGGAAAAGGCTCTTTGAAAAAAGTTGTTATATTTTGGAGAATTTTTTAATCACACTTTTATCACATAAAAATGGCAGATGACTACATACCACTGTTTTGAAAATTGAGATACCTAGCTGTCACTTCCCATGAGGAGTTAGTGTTTTGTTATCCACCATGGAAAATGACAGCTAATAGATAATTTGCCACAGCGAATCAGATATTTGTAATTTCCACTTTTTTCAACTCATTCTGAATCTCAATTGAAAACGCTCTTTGAAAAAGTTCAGAATTTTTTCAATTTTTTTTATCATTCTATCATAATTTTTGGGAATTTCTACATGATGTACCACTCAATTGACAATTTTGGATTACGAAATATAAAAAAATCCAGATAACATTCGAAAGATAGTTCACCTGGGCCTTAAAACGCAAAAAAGTAAATTTTTGACAATTCTCAAATTCCCCACTAAAAATAGGCATAAACTCGTTAACAGTGATCTTACTGGACAGGATCGTGTCTGTTTATCGTTGGAGCAGGTGCAGGAGCAGAAGTTGGGGCAGTCGGGCTGGCTAGTGTTGGTGATTGCGCCGCGGAGACTGGCACCGAGGCACCACCAGACGAATTACCCGTGTTTATACGATGAACATGAAGCTGGTGAAGCTGCAACTGCGCTGCATCTTCACCGAGGAACGAGCACCTCGAGCACTGACGTTTGTTGTGGACTTTCAGAACATGTGTGGCCAAACGTTCAGCTCGAGCTGCTTTGTACTCACACAGAGCGCAGGCGAAGGGCTTCAGGTGAGTGTTCAGGTGACGTTTCAGACACCAATTGTCGACACCACTCCATGAGCAGTAGCAGCAGGTGTATCTGAGGATTGAAATCGTAGAAATTACGATTGGGATTCAAACGAGGAAATCTGAACAAGTGGACAATTTCATGTTAAATTTTTTTTGTCATTTTTCCCCCAAAAAGATGAATAAATTCCTCTGAATAGAATGGCATTTAAAATTCACATCAAACATGACGAGTAATGTTGTATTTAATTATTTGCAATTGGACGAAGAAATTGTCAAATAGTGAAAGAAAATATAAAATACTATTTCGCTTCAATTTTCAATAGTACTTCTTCATAATTTTTATTAAACAGACTCCACCTGCATTAAAAAAAACTCAAAAATCAAACAAATCCCCACCATGACAAATAAAATTGTATTGAATTCAATAAATGGTAATTTCTTTGGCTTATCGGTCAGTTTATTATTTAGATTTCCATTTAGATTTCGTTGGTGACCGGTAAGCCAAAGAAATGATCATTTATTGAATAAAAAGTACGGTCGAAAAATCATGAAGAGAAAAGGGATTGTATTAAGTGATTCGCAATTTGCAAATCACGATGGACGAAGAAATTGTCGAATGGGAAAATAAAAAATAAAATACCATTTCACTTCAATTTTAAATGACACTTTCCCATAATTTTCATGAAACAGTCTCCACCTGCATTAAAAACTCCCAAGAGGATTTTAAAAATCCAAAAAAATTGACAAATTCTCAAATTGTATTTAATTCAATAAATGACAATTTCTGCGGCTTATCGGTCAGTTTATTATTTCGATTTAGATTCAGTTGGCGCTATTTAAAAAATAATCTAAACAATAAACTGGCCGATAAGCCAACGAAATTATCATTTACTAAATAAAAAGTACGGTCGAAAAATCATGGAGAGAAAAGGGATTGTATTTAATGATTTTCAATTTGCAATTGGACGAAGACATTGTCAAATGGGGAAATAAAAAATAAAATACCATCTCACTTCAATTTTAAATGACACTTCCCCATAATTTCCATGAAACAGTCTCCACCTGCATTAAAAACTCCCAAGAGGATTTTAAAAATCCAAAAAATCGACAAATTCTCAAATTGTATTTAATTCAATAAATGACAATTTCTCCGATTTATCGGTCAGTTTATTATTTCGATTTAGATTCAGTTGGCGCTATTTAAAAAATAATCTAAACAATAAACTGACCGATAAGCCAACGAAATTATCATTTACTAAATAATAAGTACGGTCGAAAAATCATGGAGAGAAAAGGGATGGTATTTAATGATTTTCAACTTGCAATTGGACGAAGACATTGTCAAATGGGGAAATAAAAAATAAAATACCATCTCACTTCAATTTTAAATGACACTTCCCCATAATTTTCATGAAACAGTCTCCACCTGCATTAAAAACCCCCAAGACGATTTTTAAACTCCAAAAAATCGACAAATTCTCAAATTGTATTTAATTCAATAAATGACAATTTCTCCGATTTATCGGTCAGTTTATTATTTAGATTTCGATTTAGATTCAGTTGGCGCTATTGAAAAAATAATCTAAATAATAAACTGACCGTTAAATCCGGTTGAAAATTTGTTCGATTTTGTCATTTTAAAAATCCAAAAAATCGAACAAATCGTCAACCAAAAAACGTTAAAAATAAATATTACCTCCTCTCCTGAGCCCCCTTGGCGCCGGCCTTGACGTGGCTCTTGCTGTTGCAGCCAGTATTCTGTATCCTCCTACTGCAATTGCTATCCTGAATGACCCCAACAACACTAGTCATACTGGCAGTCTGATAGAGAGCTGGTGTCACTCCAGCGACACCCGTCGCCTGTGTCGTCTGCAGCTGATAGCTCTTATTGTTGTTGTAGTTTGTTGTGTAAGTGCCATTGATACCCGCGCTGTTGGTGTTACTCTCGTGGACTGTCTTGGTGCCATTGGTGCTCGGTGTTCGTCTTATCTTGGCCAATTCGTACGTGTGCTCCCTGTGCATCCGGAGGAAATGCTTCTTCACATGGTCGGCACGGTTGAAGGGCTTGTAGCAGACGTAACAGTGGAAGGGCTTCTCCTCACGGTGGATGTTCTCGTGACGGGTGTAGAGATCACGTCTGTCTGTGCCGTAGGGGCAGTACGGGCAGGTGTAGCGTTTGCCACTTGATGATGAGGTTGTTGAAGAGGTAGTCATTGTTGGGGGGTTCTGAAGATTTTTTTCATTTTTTATTCGTTTTTTGTTATTCATTTATTCATTTTCTTCATTGGTTTGGCCAGGGGTTTCTCGGGGGCGGGGAGGGGAGAATAATTGCGAAAATGTTTTTTTACAATTACAGTGAGAGAAAAACGCACTTACACGTTACAATTCAAACTTCTGAATGTTCGATTCGTTGTGTGCAAATCGACAGGTATAATTTGAGTCCGTGGAGTTCAAGAAACAAAAAATTCACCAATCAGGGGAGTCTCATGGATTTTGTGTTTTTCTTGAATTTCACATAATTTAATTTAACATGTCGAATTGTGCAGAATCTCTCCAATCCTCATTAATCATTTCTCGAATTTATAAACACGAAGATAAAAAATACTCACAGCGTGCAAATGCTGTGGCGGCGTGGTCGGCAGCTCTTGCAGGAGAAAGGGGGTTGTAGCAGGAAGTAACGCAGCTGGGACCGTTTGGGTCTCCTGCGTCCTCCTGGAGGGTGGTGCCTGCCTCTCTGCCCTGTCACGCACTCTTTCCAGGTACGTAAGAATATCCTCAAGCTTCACGTCGCTCTGTAGGTAATCCTTTCTCGGTGAGTGGTGACGATTCCGCGAATCGTCCAAAATTCTCGACGAGTGCAACTCCATAAAGTGCTCTGCTATATCTCTCGGTCCACCGGCCATACAATCACCTGAAATTAACATCAATTTTTCAAATAACATTGTTTTTTTACTCATTTTTATTTATGATTCATAAAAAATTGAAATATTTCATCTGCATTTTGTGAATTTTTTTGGTTTATATCAATTGAAGTGAAAAATTAGTCTTTTCATGACAAATAAAATTGCATTTTGACTTATTTTTTATTACAATTCATAAAAAATTGCACTATTTCATCTGCATGTTGTGCTATTTTTGTATTATATCAATTGAAGTGAAAAATTAGTCTTTTCATGACAAATAAAATTGCATTTTGACTTATTTTTTATTACAATTCATAAAAAATTGCACTATTTCATCTGCATGTTGTGCTATTTTTGTATTATATCAATTGAAGTGAAAAATTAGTCTTTTCATGACAAATAAAATTGCATTTTTAATCATTTCAATCTGTAATTTATAAAATATTACAATATTTCATTACAATTTCATTGCTGTCACGAAAAAACTAATCTTTTCCATTTTTATCAATTGAAATAGTCCAAAAGTAAATTAAATACAAAAAAATTAAATCAGGGTTTTTTGTCTGTTTGTATTTTCAGAATTAATGGGGCAAAACGGGCCGCTTTTTAAAATTTTAGCTAGAATTATCCTGGCTTTTAAATGAAAGTTCAGACGAAAAACGAAACAAAGTAGAAAAAAAATGAAACGGAGTTTTCATGAATTCTTGTTTTAATCATTAAAATTGAATTATGAAAAAAATGTTAATTTACCACATTCGTAACAACGCCAGGTGGACTTTCCCGCGTGATAAGAAGCTATCCTACTGCCGTCAGTTCCTTTAAGTGGTTCTTCCTCGCAAGTCCAATTGCCATCGTCCGAGTCAGTACCATTTCCCGTGTCCTCGTCGTTTTTGTACGAAACCGAAGTCTCAAATTCGTTCTGTACACTAGAGGCTGCAACGCACAATGGCCCAAATGAATAAGAAAACCCATTGTAATGAGAAAACCCAATGACACTGAAGTCGTTAAAATGCGATTATCCTTACTTCTGTGATCGGGATCGTCGCCGTACAATTTTCTCGTAATCTCTTTGAACATATCCTCGTAGCAGTCTAGCCTGCCAATACCTGTTGTACCGCTTTCCATGGTGTTTTTCTCGGTAAAGGGAGGGAAAAATGTGAAAGCCGATGGGGACCTTTAACTGACAGCCCCTGGGAGGGACCGAGTCCACTGGGTTCTACCCCCTTCGAGGGTCGATCTTTTGCGCGAACTACCTGAATCATTCAAGGGAAGTTTACGATCAAAACTGGTTTACCGTTATGACCTTTCGAGGGAAATTTTTTTTTCATGAGGAGGATTTATTTGAGAGTTACGTAATGGAGGGATTGAGGGGATATTTCCTGTATTTTTTCGTGGAGGTAATTTGGGATGTCCGGAAAATTGCTCCGGAAATGCGGAAAATCCCCAATTTTCCGAATTTTTTCAAAATTATTCTGTAAGAAAGTGGAAAATTGCGTTTGTCCTCATATAGGATACCTGTTTATGATAATACATTAGCAATATGATTTCGAATGGTCATTACATGCCATTTTATTCTATCGTATGTCGCTTCACATTATTTTGTTCAATTGAATTATATTTGTTCTTCAATCAATTTTGTTTGATTTCTTGGGATAATTCTTGTACAAATCAAATGAAAGAACGATGATATCTGTGTTATCTTGAAATTTCATTTGAAACCTCATATTTGAAGACACCGTTGGAGAATTTACCTTCAGCGAAATTTTATAAAAATCCGAAATTTGCAAAAATCGTCAAGAGAATAAAACCGAATAATTTCAGAACTGTAAATTTTAGTTTAATTATTCCGGGGAAATTAGTGAAAAATTGGGGACATTCTAGGAATTCCAAGAATTTAAAAAGAATTCCCTGAAAATTTGAGGGATTTTGGCAGTGAATATTCATTTTCTCGTGAAATTCCATTGACTTTTTCTTCTTAAATTAAATACAAGTTCTTTTTCCGGAAAATTCAGCCAATTTTTTTAACAGTGTGGGCGGAAGTTGTTCTAAAATTAGAAAAAAACATTGTCACATCGCTACATACGTACGCAGCCTAAAATAGTATATTACGACACAAGTGAAAAAAAGTAGTTGTTGACGAGTGTGAGCCGCAGGCGTGGTCTGTAATCATACTCGTCAGTAAGTACATTTTTCCATATGTACCGTACGATATTTTATTATACTGGTGAGAAAAAGGCGGTTCTTAACGCGCGAACCTTGCAAAAAGTGGCCCTTTTCCCACGTGTATCATAAATTGAATTTTCCATGAATTGACTGTCTCGATCATAAAGTTTGGATATCACAAAAAAAAACAAAACCCTAAATTTATAGTCGCCCTCGTCAGGAAGTACATTTTTTCATATGTATCGTGGGATATTTTATGTCACACGGCGATAAAAGTATTATCTGACTCATGCGATTACAATCGTCGTCTTCGGCTCGGATTATAGAGTCCCATTCATCAAATAATACCTTTATCGCTTGATGACATAAAGTACTATGATAATACTGGTGAGAAAAAGGCAGTTCTTTTCCCCCCAAACATGCAAAAAACTGCCCTTTTTTTCACTTGTATCATAAATTGAATTTTCTGACTGTCTCGATCATAACGTCTGGATACCACAAAAAGCCAAAACCCTAAATTTTCAATCACACTCGTCAGTAAGTACATTCTTTCATATGTATCGTACGATATTTTATGATACTGGTGCGAAAAAAGCGCTTTTTACGCGCGAAGCCCGCAAAAAATTGCCCTTTTTTCACTCGTATTATAAACTGAATTTTCCGACTGTCTCCATTATAACGTCTGGGTATCAAAAAACCTCGTCAGCAAGTACATTTTTTCCTATGTATCGTATGATATTTTATGTCACACGGCGATAAAAGTATTATCTGACTCATTAGATTGTAATCCGAGCCGAAGGCGCCCAGTCACATCCGTCAGATAATACTTTTTTCGCCCGATGACATAATGCATTCTTATGATACCGGCGAGACATATTTTTGTATCTTACGATATTTTATAATCCTGATGAAGAAGAGGCACTGCTTTGCGCGCGAAGCATGCAAAAAGTGCCCTTTTTTTCCCTAGTAACATAAATTGAATTTTCCGACTGTCTCGATCATAACGTCCAGCTGTCACAAAAAACCCAGACCCTAAATTGGAACAAGAGCCCCCAAAACTCCCTCCGAAGACGAAAAAACTTCCCGATCAATAGCCCATCGATCAGTCCCTCACCCCGCACGCAAGCGTGAGCCCTCCCCGATGAATCAAAACCCCCCGAGATAAATAAACCAATCCAAGATTTGAAAGCCAACTCATGGCATCGATATTCCCCCTGAATCCTCCGTCGTCATGCCTTTGTAAACCAAAACGAGAGCACGATGGAGAAGGAAACATCGTCACAACTAGTTAGGGGAAGTGAACCCCAGTAACAGGGGGAGGGGGGGGGTCACGGCAAGACGAAGACGGGTGAGGGGGGGG